ATTAACAATCTGGCTTCCTGCTTTTTAAAGTGTGTCTAAAGGCAATGCCAGCATCATTTTGTTAGTTGTTATATTTTGTGGACCCTGTTTTATGTAATAAAATATTTCTTGATTGCTTGAATTTAATGAGTTTGTGTTGCTGAAGCCTGCTTGATTGGCATGACAACATGCAAAGCTCCTGTATTTTCCCATAATATATTTTGCATTGGTGGACAGTAAAAGTTGTATCTGTGCCAAGTATAATCTTTGGTTCAGATGGGGAAGGGAAAAGGTACTAAATATGTTGAGATAAAAGTATTCTGACAATGGCAACAATGAACCCAAGAGATTTTATTTTGTTAACCGATGAAATAGCAGGTGAAATAGTGCGATCAGAGTAAAAGCTAGAAATAACTTCAATATATACATAAATAATTATGGAATAGGTGTATTGGAAAGGTGTAGAGCAGACATAAAGCCACAGGCATTAGGAATGAATGAAATCCCGTAAGCCAAGTGCCTTGCTGGTTTAACTCAATAACACCAAGTGTACTAATGAAATCTTTATATGTCTTTGTGGAATCTGGTTCTTAATTAATTCCTGAGTGAACCTGACGTATCAACTGCTACTGATCCCTAAAGATAGACAAGATTCTGTGCTAAAATATAATGATGTAAAAATCAGCCCAAGAATCTAAATTTGGTGCTGAAAAAACTATGATCTACCTAACTAGTGCAAATCAATCCTACAGCAAACATCCTTGCTTTGCTTTGCCCAATTTAACATGCTATTGATAATCATAAAAATGCCTATCTGGTATTCTGAGTCTTGGAATTGAGGTGTTCACTTAATTCTTGACATTTCTTCAAGCATTATCTACAAGTTTTCAAATTCAGCTTTAGGACTGGTAGTTTATTTTTCTTTCAAGAATAAGAGTTAAATTTCCCATATGATCATCTATCACTAAATTACAAGCTTGGACAATGTGATGACAGAATTGCAAATTAAATAGTGATACAAGTCGATTTGTCCTTCTTATTTAGTCACAACAACTGAGTCCATTGAATCAATTGATAATTCAGTAATGTACTAATTTATGATATAGCCATTTCAGTGAGGGGTGTAAGTCCTGATTATAAAGCATTTTATAGATGTCACAATCACTGTCACACACTCACTTTCTCTGCTTGCTTATTTGAAAATATGCTGCAATTATTTAGACTGAGTGTCATCAAATATGGACCACTAAGACAGAACTGATAGTTAGAGCCAAGCATCTATTCATATATATGGCGAAGAATAAGAATAGAATAGAATAGAATAGAATAGAATAGAATAGAATAGAATAACAGAGTTGGAAGGGACCTTGGAGGTCTTCTAGTCCAGCCCCGTGCTCAAGCAGGAGAACCTATACCATTTCAAACAAGTGATTGTCTAGTCTGTTCTTAAAAACCTCCAGGGATAGAGTGCCCATGATTTCTGGAGGCAAGCTGTTCCACTGATTAATTGTCCTCACTGTTAGGAAGTTTCTCCTTAATTCCAGGTTGCTGCTCTCTTTGGTCAGTTTCCAACCATAGTTTCTTGTCTTGCCCTCTCGTGCTTTGGAGAATATATGTCCTCTTCTTTGTGGCAGCCCCTCAAATACTGGAATACTGCTATCATGTTGCCCCTGTTTCTTCTTTTCTTTAGACTAGCCAAACCCAATTCCTGCAGCCGTTCTTCATATGTTTTAGTCTCCAGGCCTTTGATCATCTTAGTTGCTCTTCTCCGAACTTTTTCTAAGGTCTCAACATCTTTTTGTAGCAATTGCAGTATTCCAGGTATGGTCTTACTAGGGTTTTATAAAGTGGTACAATACTTCTTGTGATCTTGATTCTATGCCTCTATTTATACAACCCAGGACTGTATTAGCCTTTTTGGCTGCTGCTGCTGAACACTGCTGGCTCATAGTCAAGTGATCGTCCACTAGGACTCCAAGTTCCCTCTCACAGTTATTGTTTTTGAGCTAGGTCTCACCTAATCTGTACTTGTACCTTTGATTTTTCCTGATTAAATGTAAAACTTTGCTTTTTTCCACATTAAAATTCATTTTGTTGGATAGGGCCTATTGTTCAAGTTTGTCAAGATCTTTTTGGATCCTGAGCTTGTTTTCAGGGGTGTTGGCTATTCCTGCCAGTTTAGTGTCATCTCCAAATTTGATGAGTTCTTCTATTCCCTCATCTAAGATATTGAAGAATACTGGGCCTAAGGCAGAGCCTTGTGATACCCCACTGCTTACCGTATATGCCAGCGTATAAGACAACTTCTGGAAGTGCTAAACTCGGCGCCAAAGACGGGGGTCGTCTTATACGCCAAGTTGTCTTATATGCTGGAAATACTGGTAGTTTCTGGCGTATAAGACGACATTCTAGGAATGCGGCTTGGCGATAAAGACGGGGGTCATCTTATACACCGGGTCACCTAATACGCCGGCATATACGGTACTTCTCTCCATATGGATTTTGTGACATTGAGGACTATTCGCTGAGCATGGAGGAGGAGGAGGAAGAGGAGGAGGAAGGAAGAAGAAGGAGGAGGAGGAGGAGGAAGGGAGGGAGGGAGGGAGAGAGAGAGGGGGGGGGCGGGGAAACAAATTTGGTCTAGAGGTTAAGGTACCAGGTTAGAAACCAGGAGATTTGTGAGTTCTAGCCCCATCTTAGCCATGAAAACCAGCTGGGTGAATTTGGGCCAGACACTCTCTCTCAGCCTAACTTACCACAAGCGTTGTTGATGTAGGGAACAGCAAGCAAGCAAGCTTGGATTATGTGATCATATTTCCAAATGCATGCACAGGAAACCATAGTAAATTTTCTATTCTGTGATTCCCAGCTAAGCAGTAGCACCTAGCCAAGCCTGTTGATCTGGAAACTTAAACAGGATCAGTCCTGGTGAGGACTTGGATAAGGAATCCTGAGCTGCAGACTAGAATGTCAAATTGAAACAAAACGTTTTTGAAAAAACAATGGCAAATCACTTCTACACCATTTCCCCTCCTGCCCCAATTAATAGCTAATAATAATAATAATAATAATAATAATAATAATAATAATAATAATAATAATAATAAAGTTGGAAGATACCTTGGAGGTCATCTAGTCCAACCCCCTGCTCATGCAGGAAACCCTATACCATTTCAGACAGATGGCTGTCCAGTCTCTTTTTAAAAACTTCCAGTGTTGGAGCATTCACCACTTCTGGAGGCAGGTTGTTCCACTGGTTAATTGTTCTAACTGTCAGGAAGTTTCTCCTTAGTTCTAGGTTGCTTCTCTCCTTGATTAGTTTCCATCTGTTGCTTCTTGTCCTGCCTTCAGGCGCTTTGGAAAATAGCTTGACTCCCTCTTCTTTGTGGCAGCCCCTGAGATATTGGAACACTGCTATCATGTCCCCCCTTGTCCTTCTCTTCATTAAACTAGACATATCCAATTCCAGCAGCCGTTCCTTATATGTTTTAGCCTCCAGTCCCCTAATCATCTTTGTTGCTCTTCTCTGTACTCTTTCTAGAGTCTCAGCATCTTTTTTACATCGTGGTGACCAAAACTGGATGCAGTATTCCAAGTGTGGCCTTACCAAGGTATTGTAAAGTGGTATTAACACTTCACGTGATCTTGATTCTATCCCTCTGTTAATGCAGCCCAGCACTGTGTTGGCCTTTTTGGCAGCTGCAGCATACTGCTGGCTCATATTTAAGTGATTGTCCTTCTCACAGTTACTACTATTGAGCAAGGTACCCCCTATACTATACCTGTGCATTTGGTTTTTCTTGCCTAAATGTAGAACCTTGCTTTTTTACCACTGAATTTCATTTTGTTAGATAGTTCCCAGTGTTCAAGTCTGTCCAGATCCTTCTGTATCTTAAGCCTGTCTTCTGGAGTGTTGGCTATTCCTGCCAGCTTGGTGTCGTCTGCAAAAGCTGTACCCATGAAAAGTATCAGAAATCCAGCTTGAATCAAAGCTGCCCAGTCTTTGCAACTTTAAGTTTTGTGAACTTCAACTTCAACTCCCAGAATTCCTCAGGGCCAAATGTCTATGGTGGAAATTTGTGCTTTTTAAACCTAACCAAATTTAAGATCTATGGCAGATAGAAGACATGCTCTTGTATGTGGGCTTTTATATCCTGCAACATGGCACCCCAGATGTAACAGGACACCATTTTTCTTAATGTAATGTGGGAAGATTCACAAGTAACGCTTGATAGGAAGTTTATGTTTTCAGAAGTTGCTGCATTATGCAGTCTCAGAAATTGTCAACATTACCTCATCTTTCTTTACAGCCCATAGCTCATTCTAATCTGGGAACATATAGATCTTAACTACAGTTTGTAGCAGGATGACATAAATTTTTGGATGTGCAAAAGACTTTGCTTGACTAAGGCAATCTAGCTAATGTTCAGTTTTGCCTATAAAGATCTCTCGGGATTTAGAGACAAGCAAAATCACAAATTGTTCCTTTGGAAGTCACCAGGGATACATATTATGATGCATGGGGTGAGAGGATGGAAAATTTTATTTAATTCTTCATTAAATGGGGTTTCACTAAAACATTAACTTTCCAGATCATGAAGTACCAAAATAATAACTTCTTGGTTGATAAAACTTGCACCTAACATTTATTTCTGAGATGAAATAATCTGCAATGAAATCAAAAGAATACTCTAACAGAGAATTCAATTAAAAGCAGTTTAGGATACCTGTAAGTAATTACACTATCACATTCTCCACAGGGTTTAATTCAGGCCAAACCACAACTACTGTGTGTCCAAAAGATAATGAATTAAAGCAGTGCTCTGGCATATTCTCTTACTGAAACGTTAGCAGCCTTCTCGAGTGACATGAAAAATAGGCTTCAATAAGAGCTGGGAAATATATGCAGTTAGATTCAATCAATAAGCTGTCCTTGACCAATGTCCAAATTTAAAAAAAAAAACAGTCCCAAATGAGTTATGAGAATTCTTTCTCTGATTTTAAGTGTATTAATTTTGCAGGGTATACACAACGAAGTCCTATGCTGCCTGAAGACGGTATTTTGACAGCAGAGGAACACTTTGTGAAGAGCCCACACGTCCCTTTTTGGAAGGTAGGAAGACCGAGCACAGCTGGTATGTGGATGGCAGGCTGCTATGGAAAAACATTACATGCTAATTTGAGAAGAGTAGAGAAAGTAAATCGTACAATGAAATAGACATCTCACTCCCAGGTTCCTTTTCTTGAGTGATGGGAACATTGGTGGGTTAAAGGAGGGTTGTTGCTGCCTTACAAAATACAACAAAAGAGGAGAATCTGGAGTAAGATAGAATGGAACCTATCACTTTGCCATCAAAAGGCTTCAAAACCAAAATATGTCTTCTATATAGAGCTATCCTACCATAATATATCTTTTGACATTCTCCTTTGAGACTCTCTCAGAAGCAATCCTTTCAATTTGTTCTTGAAAGGATGATACCAACGGAGGTGGCTTGGCTCAGAGGAACTCATTCACAACCCCATTTCAGACTCCTTAGACATTAACTGTTCATTGACTATGAAAAGCCCAATTAGTACAAGATCCTTTAGATCAGGGATGCACAGTTGGCAGCTCCAGGGCTACATTAGCCCTTCAAGACTTGAATGCACTCAAAAAGTGCCTCCTAAAGTAACATCTAATGAGATGAAATATGATTAAATATATAAGAAATCATATTGGCTGCAATTAATTAATTACATTAAAAATAAAGGACCATTGAATTAATTTTAATCTTTGTCTTGCCTTGCCGCTTCTTAGCTCCTCTTTTTTGAAATTCCTTTTCTCAGAGTTTGTGTAATCTTTAGCCCAATACAGATTGCACACCTCTGGTTTATATAAATGAATAGTCACCTGTGTGTCAACCTATTAGCTATGGGTCAACTGTTGAAATATGTTTGGGTGTTTCTCCCTCCCAAGTGGACACTATTTCATTAATGCATCATCATGTGAAGACTCCCATCTTAGCCCGCCTTAGGATGACAGGTATTGGTAAGCCAGTTGTGGATTATATTGATGAGTGTTTCTGACAGTATTATCTATCTAGTTGAAAGCAGGTCTCCAGCAAGCAGCATCCATGGTGAATCAACAGTAATCTGAGAAACAACAAGGGATATTGTGGCTGTAAATGCCTGCTGTTGCATCAGTATAGTTAAATTGCTGTCTTCATCAGAGTAGCCTGTGAGATGTGAAACTGAAAATAGATCAAGGTGAAAATAATTTTCAGAGGAACCCAGGCATACATACGTTGTTACAGCAGTATTTTTTTAAAAAGAGAAATTTTTTCCTTTTCCTCTACTGAAGCTATTCATCCTTTCTTCCTATTAGCCTTTTAAGGATAGATGGTTATTCTTACGAGACTTCAAAACTGTTGTTAGCAAATGCAAACCAGTTTTGACCAGTTCTGTACAAGTCACACATTTGTTACTCTGTTTTCCAGGTTGACTGATTGTGATCTAAGGAAAACAACATAAGCCAATAGAACATGGAAGCATCTGTAAACACTAATTTACAGATTGACAAATTTGCTTAAAAAAATACTTCATGTACAAACCTGATGTGTTATCAAAATAAATATCATACATCAAGGTGGGATAAATAAATTATGGGTTGGTCTCTTGCTAAAAAGGGGCCAAACTAGTCCAGTAGTGTTGCTTGTAATAAAAAAGATCTTTAAAAGGGTAGATGGTGAATGGTTTCTGAATTCAGTAAAGTTGTTGTCAAGGTTCTGACTAATGAAGCCACATATAGAACTCCAAGGCTTGCAGTTTCCTCAAAGCACATGTTTATTGGATTCATAATATTGGCACAGTCAAAAGTGAAACCAACTCTGAAATTTCCCTAAAGATTCGAAGTAACTAAAAGTAATACTCCCCTCCCCTCTACTATGCTATAAATCACGCTGCCCAATGAAAGTAATTGGCTTCTCAAATCATCTTTGCTCCTCCTTCCTGCACCTGTGGGAATGGCCTTGGTTCCCACGAGACTGATTGGTGTTTTGTCTGTGGTAAAAAAAGCACTACTACTTTCCCCCTTCTCCCCCCATCTATGTGGCAACTGAGAACGAAAAAGATGGCTTCAGCCAGGATCGTTTCAGAAGTTGACAGTTGTATTGTAACAAAAATACATACATCTTCCAATGCGTATATATGTATACAGGTAGTCCTCAACTTATGACCACAATTGAGCCCAAAATTTATGTTGCTAAGTGAGAAATTTGTTAAGTGAGTTTTTTCCTCCATTTTACGACTTTTCTTGCCACATTTGTTAAGTGAATCACTGCAGTTGTTAAATTAGTAACACAGTTGTTAAGTGAACCTAGTTTCCCCATTGACTTTGCTTGTCAGAAGATCACAAAAGGTCACATGACCCTGGGACACTGCAACCATCATAAATGTGAGTCAGTAGTCAAGCATCCGAATGTAAATCACGTGACCATAGGAATGCTGCAACGGTCATAAATGTGAAAAATGGTCATAAGTCACTTGTTCAGTGTTGTTATAACTTCAAGCAGTTATTTGGTGAACCGTTGTAAATTGAGGATTACCTGTAATCCTACTTACCTGTATTCCTAATTTTTAGGAATAAGCAAAAACTATTGAGTCCATGGAACTACCATAGTACAAGCATTTCAACAAAGCACTGAGGGAAAGATGAGAAACAATGGTTGGAACTGATCAAAGAGAGAAGCAATCTGGAATTAAGGAGAAACTTCCTGACAGTGAGGACAATCAACCAGTGGAACACTTGCCTCCAGAAATCGTGGGCACTCCATCACTGAAGATTTTTAAGAAGAGACTAGACAATCACCTCTCTGAAAAGGTGTAGGTTCTGCTGCTTGAGCTTCTATTCTATTTTATATCCAGTGCTTTCTAAAATATTAGAAGGATTCATTTTGTCCTCCTACTTAAATATTAATCACCGTCCATTTTGAATACCTAGAAGAAATCAAGGAAACTAATCAACATGGCTTCTACCTCATCCAACATTTAACCGTGAGACTCATCTCCAAGAACACCAGCACTTCTTTCCTTCTACAGCAACTGAAATTGGCATCAGAGGTTTTTGTTTTCTGCCATCCTTTGCTCAATGATTTTAGTGAGGCTAAACAAGCACAGGTTCTGCAAAAACGGAAGTTTTCTCACTTGGACTACACTAGTGAAGAGGAAACATTCAAGCTTCCAACAACCTCTTGGGGCCTTGGAAACATAGAGGACTTGTTTGTTGGTTTGTTTTTAAAGAAGGCAGAAAGATGAAAATATATCAGGCTGAAGACACACTCACTTTTCCTTGCTTATAAAATTCCCTGCTGACAAGATTTCCCCCCTCCTGCCTTTATGTGCTCATCTGTGAAGGATTGTCCACCTGGTGCCTTATCATGGGCTTTGGAAAAGTGCCAGAAGATGGCAACAGCATGTACTACTAAGGGAGCATTGGGGCTGTGTGGAATAACAAGGACTGTGTTATGACTGGGAACGTTTGCAGTACTATAAATAACTCTATCAATATTGTGATAATGGCACTTTAAAGAGGTCTATTTTACAAGTGTTGGATGTAAGAGACTGCAGCTGTGCTCATTAATGCTGAAGGATGCTTCACTCTATGTACAATTTGCAGGTGTAACAATAGGGGTGTTGATTCATTGGGAGCTTTGATTGTGACTGGAATTTGTTCAGATCTTCAAAAGAAGAAGAGAAGGTTACACTAACATTGTTAGTGCCTAATAAGTCTTTATTGTATTTGGCAGATGAAAAGCAAATTATAACAGTTTAATTGAAAACCCCCCAAAAGATAACAGGATTTCAATGAGACTTAAATAGCTCCTTCTCACCAAAGAGCAAGTACTACTATAATTGATAGAAATATTTTTTTTTTAAAATAATTAATTGCTGTAAATTATCATTTGGCACAAAGATGGCATAATTCTCATTAATTTGCAACCTTTCCTAGTTTAAAATTCAATCAGAAATGGCACCCTTCTGTTTCCCTTGCGAGTTAATTCAGAACTGAAGTAAGTTCCATAAAATTTCCTACTTCTGTAGTAAGCTTCATTTCTGCTGCAGTGTACTTGGCATCCCAAAGACAACCTGGGTTGTCTCACCTTGATTTGACATTTCCGGCTTACCTGAGGTTAACTGGCTATTGTACAAGAAGAAATCACATTAATTGTTCTGCAGCTTTGAACAGATCAGCTTTAAAATAGTTCCGCCTTTAAAGCAGAATGAGCCATTGAGCGCCTTCTTGTTATTGAACTGCTGCTTCTAGATGTTTCCATCAGCACAGCCAGAATGAGGGAAGCTGCAGATAACCAATATCTAGAACAGTGTTTCTCAACCTTGACAATTTTAAGGCATGTGGACTTCAACTCCCAGAATTCCACAGCCAGCAGTGCTGGCTGTGGAATTCTGGGAGTTGAAGTCCACATGCCTTAAAATTGTCAAGGTTGAGAACCACTGATCTAGAAAGTCCCAGGTTCATGGTCCTTGTCATAAGGGGTTAGTGCAAAATAACATGGGACACAAGGTAAGGGTTCCACCAGTGGAACTGAGCTTTTATCTTTTTTCTTATCTTATGGCTAAATTGTTACTACAGCTGCCAAGTCAACTGATATCAGGTAACAAAGGGAACCAATAGGATCCCACCTGTTTGTTTCCTGTATAGTCTTCAGTTAAGAAAGCTCTCATAAATGCTCTTATAAAATACTTTGAAATCACAATTACTGTATACCAGGATGAGCATCAATGGGAACTTTATGACCTATGGATTTTATAAGAGTCATAAAGTTGCCCGGGTTAGCCACTGTATATAGTAAAACAATATAGATATAACAAAGTCAGTATTAGACCAGATAAAAATTTCAGAGCAAAACAGAGTGGAATTAGTAGATAACAAAGACCAGAGCTGGAAGAGGTTGTTTTTTTTTTCAGTTTGGCATGGTGTAGCTGGGAACTTAATGGATCTTATCTACTCCTTGTAAAACATGACTGTAAAAGTGAATTCTGGATCCTAGTAATGTATATCCTGATTGTTTTCTTCTCATTGGGATTTAATTGAGTATGGATCTTTTGTTCTTACATAAGAGATGCACAAATTCTATTGGCTTGCAGTCTTCAGCAGAACCAACATTCATTTTGGGAAAGAATTGGAGTTTAAAAGGTTTAAATGGATGATTTATGTCTCTGCAAGGATACCCTGCCAACAAAAGTGCGTATAATCCAGGCCATGGTTTTCCCAGTTGCAATGTATGGCTGTGAAAGTTGGACCATAAGAAAGGCTGAGCGCAAAAGAATTGAGGCCTTTGAACTATGGTGCTGGAGAAGACTCCTGCAAGTCCCATGGACTGCAAGGCATTCAAACCGGTCAGTCCTAGAAGAGATCAACCCTGACTGCTCTTTAGAAGGCCAGATCCTGAAGTTGAAACTCAAATACTTTGGCCACCTAATGAGAAGGAAGGACTCACTGGAGAAGGGCCTAATGCTGGGAAAGATTGAAGGCAATAGAAGAAGGGGACGACAGAGAATGAGATGGCTGGATGGAGTCACTGAAGCAGTAGGTGAGAACTTAAATGGACTCCAGAAGATGGTAGAGGACAGGAAGACCTGGAGGAACGTTGTCCATGGGGTCGCGATGGGTTGGACACGACTTCGCAATTAACAACAACAACAACAAAGGATTGATATCCATTTCATCCTTTTTAACTCCCTCAAAAAAAAAAAAAAGAAAAAAGAAACTCTCGAAATATTTTTAAAAATGGAGTCCACTCACTCTGGTGGCACAAAAAAGGCACAGCCAGGCTGAAAATGCTTCCCAAGCTATAGTTTTTGTATTGTAGTTGTCAATGAGCATAGGATGATTACCCTAAGGATACAAGCTTAAATCAGCCACAGATGCATCTAACAATAATTACAGCATAGAGTGGTGAGAACTTTGACATAACAATAGCAGATTATCTGTGCCAGAGGCTCCCAACCTTTTGAGCACCAGGGATCGGTTCTGTGGAGAAAGTTTTTTTTGGGCGGACCAGAGAGGGCATGGTTTCATACGCTGCCTACATCCAGTGGATGGGGCTTCACTTGTTTGCACAGCCCGGTTGCTGGTATGCCGTGGCCCGGTGCTGGTCCCTGGATCGGGAGTTGGGGACCCTTCATCTATGCCCCTTTTCTCACACTAGAACAGGGGTTCTCAACCTTGGGAACTTTAAGACTTGTGGACTTCAGCTCCCAGAATTCCTCAGCCAGCTTTACTGGCTGAGGAATTTTGGGAGTTGAAGTCCACAAGTCTTAAAGTTGCCAAGGTTGAGAACCCCTGCACTAGAAACTGTGTTTCTTGCTTTCCAAGATTTTTTTGCCTCTTTTATCTCTTCCACCCCCATGAACACACCACACAACAAACAGTCTCTGTACTCTGTACTCCCTGTCCATCAGCTAGTTACTCATGTTGCTCATGGGCATCCAGCAGGAGAGCAAACTAAATGGCACAAGTATGCCATTCATGGCCAATTTGCAATGATGTGATGATGCCTTTGATCTCATTGGACATCATCATATGTTCTTGACCCCTTTGTTCCTATGCTCCAATGTGCTTCCAATGGCTTCATTTGCAATGTCTATGAGGTATGTACAGTGAAAAGATGGTACAAAAAAATGCAGCAGCTAACATTTTTCCCCCATGTAACACATACAAGTAGTCATTGACTTACAATCATTCGTTTAGTGACTGTTTAAAGTCAAAACAGTGCTGAAAAAAGTGATATGGCCATTTTTCATACTTACGACCAGTGGTAGGATTCAAATGCCTGAACAACCGGTTCTCTGAGTTGATGCAGGCCTGGGTGTCCAAGGCCTAGAACGGACTTCCAGAAGTGGCATCTATGCACTTCTGGTGGGCTGTTCTAGACCTGAGAGGCCTCCTCCAGACCTCTGAGGCCTAGAACAGACTTCCGGAAGTGGCATCCATGCACTTACAGTGGGCTGTTCTAGGCCTGGGAGGTCTCCTCCAGCCGGTTCTCCGAACTCAAAAAATTTAGCTACCGGTTCTGCTGAACTGATGCAAACCGGCTGAATCCCACCACTGCTTATGACCATTGCAGAATCCCTATGGCTACATAATCAAAATTTGGACACTTGGCAACTGGTGTGTATTTATGACAGTTGCAGTGTCTTGGAGTCATGTGATCACCTTTAGCGACCTACTGACAAAGTCAGTGGGGAAACAAAGATTCACTTAACAACCATATTACTAATTTAACAAGTGTAATGATTGATTTGAAAACTGTTGCAAGAAAGGTTGCAAAATGGGGCAAAACTCACTTAATAACTGTCTTGCTTAGCAACAGAAATGTTGGGCTCAATTGTGGTCATAATGTGAAGACTACTATACTTGTATTCCGAGGTCTTGTTTCTTGCTGCCTCTGTAGCTTGGGGATAACTCTAAGCTACCTTTCTGCTGTATTTTAACAAAATATGTTTTCAGTTTCCCTTCATATTGGCTTATTTTTCTTAGGATGACTTCATTTTTAATCTATTGTACTGCTTACTCAAAAAGACACATAGTGTTACTCATTCCCATATTTTAGTTTGATGTTCCTTTACCATTTTACAAATCATAAAAAATGTGCTGTTTAATTAACAGGATTTAATCCAAGCGCATCTTGCCCATTAAATTTTACTCCTACAAAATTACTCATTAACAAATATGTGCCAAACATTGAACATGAGCAAAAGAAATGTAAGAATTTTGTAGCCAATCAAAGATTAATCAGCCACAAATATGTTATGTACTTGGATTTTGTCTTGATTCTATATTGGAAATATCTCTCAAAGTCAGCCCTTTAAAGCAGGCATGGCAGATATTTGAGGGATGCTCTCTATTTGGTAGGATAAAAAAAAAACCACACAGATGATTTTGAAAGATTTTCCCAAATTTCTCTCTGCCTCAACCTATACTAAACAAAATCAAGGAAATGTTATTTTGACTTACTTTCTCATGCTTTCCATTTTATTAAGTGTACTCTTTTCTCAAGATTTTCTCTTAATGGCCCAATCTGTTCTGCTCAGAGCTACATTCCTTCATACCCAACAAACTTATATGATATGAATTTTGACCACATCACATATTCTGAGATCTTATTGTAAAGCTATTATGTAAGAGGAATTATATGCATTAAACAAGCCAGAAGTCTAATGAAAAGACAATATTCAGTATAAAAATAGCTTCCTCGCTTTTATTCCTACATCATCCTTTCTTGATTAATCTTGGTCTTGACAGTAATGATCTCACAAAAGATGGAAAATGCCTAGCCCGTTTTATGATTTAATCTTGATCCCAACAGATCTGGATTCCATTTAATTGTCTACGATTAATTAGAAACAGAGGCAACATTATTAAAGAGACCGTTTTCACATATACCCAAGAAGTTGTTTACAATTAATAGGAGCTTATGTTAAATCAAATCATTACAATCTGAAAGATTACATCTGGATAAAAATTAAAGCCAAGCCGATTCATTAACCCAAATGGTAGCCTACAGATTACTAACACTATATTGCTACTGTAGCAATCAAAGGATCGAGGGATACACGACTGGAAGATCCTAATTGAATCCATTTCAGAAATGGAGAAATTGAAAGGATTAAGAAGGTATTCACCAACTTCTGTCAACATGGAAAATATATTCACTGTTAAAGCTTTGCTGTACATAAATACCGTAATGAAAAGAAGAAGAAAACCATGGTAATGATTATATTTTAGGCAGTATACAAGTTTCGTGATATTCTATGGCATATGTTCATAAATGGTTCACAGCCATCTGTTTAAGACTACAGAAACTCTGGAATTTACAGCCAGCTATATCTTACTGCATTGCCAATAATGTCATATCCGACCTTTAGAGACACATTTTATGGGGGGATTGTTATGCAGTCAGCCATTAGTACACATAATGTTTCTCCAGATGGATTCAACTAGAAGTCATAGTTTTGCATCTTTCAATGGTTTCACAGATGATCTTATGGAAAAAAACATGATTCAGCAGATTGGAATATCCATTGGTGGCACCAGGGTTCCAAGCAATCTCTAAACAAGCTATAACAATAGCCATGGTGGTGCAGTGGTTAGAATGCAATACTGCAGGCTAATTCAACTCACTGCCAGTAGTTCGATCTTCACAGCTTCAAGGTTGACTCATCCTTCCGAGGTTAGTAAAATGAGGACCCAGATTGTTGTGGGCTCCGTAAATCGCTTAGAGAGGGCCCTAAAGCACTTTGAAGTAATATATAAGGCTAAGTGCTATTGCTATTTGCAGTCTACAAAGAGTTCATTGTAGAATTTGCTGAAAATCAGGACATAACTTACTACTACAGGTAGTCCTTGACTTACAACCATTTGCTTAATGACCATTCAAAGTAAGTCAAGGACTGTTTGTATGTAGTGTAATCTCCAAATTGAATCCCTCTGGGAAATCCCAGGAGGACCAATATTTGAGATTGAACTTGACCTAGTTCATGTAATTGTCCTAGTCATCATGGAGCATCTTGGTAGATGGTGCCATATTGCGTGCTGGTCAATATGTCTTTAGAAGAAAACACCACTTGGTGCAATGACATGTTCTCTTTGAGAACCACATTCAATATTGTATCCTCAGTGTTGCTATACTGGCACATATTTATTGCTATCAAGATACATCTGAATTTTCACTTTGACTAGAGAGGAGAGGAGGCTGGAAGCTCATGAATGGAAAAATAGCTGTCAGCTTTGTGAGCTAGTCCAGTCAAGAAGCACACCAATGCTTAGCGTGTTCCCAGCTCTAAATTTATTGTAAGGTTACATTAGTATAAATCTGAAGGTACATTTCTTTCCCATTGTCTTTATACAGCCCAAGAAACTATGGAGGGTCCCTTCTAAGATGTTGGGCTAATTTGCCACTTGTCCAACCATTGTCTTGGCTGTGGCTCTTCCCCTGTCTCCCAAGGCCATTACCGCATACCATTACAATAGCATACATATATATGCCTATCTACATAAAACATAAAACAGTAAAACAAGACTGGTTTATCTCAGCGGACAGCAAAGACTATTCATGTTGAATAGAGACAGTATAATTTTGCTTGTGAGCATAAATCTAACTTCATTCCTGAAAAAAAGATGATTAGGTTTTCTATCAATTAGAAGTTTTCAAATTCTACATTGTTTATTTAAAGTGAAGCCTCTGATATTTGCTTGTTTCTATCTTTCCTATCCCAAATAAAGAACAGACTTAGGATAGGCAATGATTTGTATTTCTTCTCTTGCTTTTTATCTTCAACCCACACTTTTGAACAATCTACCTAAGGAACTCCTGGTGGAAAAAAACAGTTGGAGAGAGTGATGTAATATGTGCCAGCATAGGAATCATGGTTTTATATGGGCTTAATTAGAGGTCCCCAACCTTTTGGGCACCAGGGACTGGTTCCGTGGAGAGAATTTTTCTGCAGATCGGAGAGTGCGTGGTTTTGTGTGCTGCCTGCATCCCACGAATGGGGCTTTGCTTGTTTGTGTGGACCAGTTGCTGGCATGCTGCAGACCAGTACTGATCCATGGACCAGGGGTTGGGGACCCCGGGCTAAATGATAAAAATATTGGACAGATAATATCTATCTATCCTACACTGATCTCACTGAATTTGCATTTAGGTACACTGTATATCTATTCCAAGTTCACACTACATATACGGATGGAAATGCAAATTTGGAAATGGAAACTCAAGCACTTTCCATGGGAAGCAATGGAAAAGCAATATATTTGGATGTACATTTAATCAGTCCCGTGGTTCATTGATTCTGTGAGTCTTTGAACACTGCAAAAGGTTTTTCATGTTATAATAATGTAGGTAAAATTCAAGCTTGGTGCATTATTATTGTTTAAATAATAAACATTCAAGGTTGTTTACTTCCTTCATACCATCTCTTTTAGACCTCCAAGGGAGTGTGAATGAAGGTTAGAGAGGCAGAGTTTGCTGTGGTCCCATCCCTGAGGGAATTCTACCTGCTCAGTGGTGGCCCCCTTTTATAAAACAAATGGCCGTGGCACATTAAGTATCGGCTCCCTGCTAACTTTTCACAGGGTTTTAAAGTATGGCTCTTTGACTGAACATTTAGGTCAGGGGTCTTCAAACTTGGCCCTTTTATGACTTGTGGACTTCAACTCCCAGAATTCCTCAGCCAGCATGCCTGGCTGAAGAATTCTGGGAGTTGAAGTCCACAAGTCATAAAAGGACCAAGTTTGAAGACCCCTGATTTAGATGATGTTAAATTCTGATCGGTCCCTCACGAATGGTGCTGTTTTTGCATTTCTGAATCAATATGGTTGTAGTACTAAGGTATTTTTCATCCTTTTTCTGATGATTGTATGCCACCACAGGGAACAGAACAATACAGAAGTCCTAGCAAAAAAGTGAATTCTGGTGATTGAGCATAACATGTGTTATGAGGCATACAATATTTGATGAAGACTGATACATGTGTTATCTGAGCCGAACTGATACATTTTTCAAGTTGGTTCATAGGAATATTTTCTCAGTCAGCTGCAGGATATATGCAAAAATCCTGAATTTTGGTTCTGAATCTGCTATGAAATCAAGACAATAAGGACAGATTTCTTTCCTTCCTACATTTTGCCTTGAGAGATAGAAAAAAGAGATTTTTTTTTCCTTAATGGTTATCCATTACTTTCATAAAAGTTGCAGTAGGGGGTAACCAATTTTTTTTAAGCAGCCTGAAAGTATCTGATACAAGCTAATTTCCATGAAAACCTAAGGCTTATCACTATTTTATTTTAAAATAAATGACCTGATTGCTAGAGTAGATTACTGCTGTATTTGTTGGCCCTTCATTTTCTATAATTATTGTGTAATTAATAAAGGAGAAATCAATACAGACATATCTTTTTGGTTAAATTTTACAATAGTAATAGTAATGATAATAGTATAATATCCATGCGATGTCATAGGAAAACCAGAAAGAAAGACAAATAATTGCTAATGCAAGATTAACTATTTTAATTCTGATGAAATTAAATCCTTTTAACTTAAGTCCTATTATTTGGCAGAGGAGTAAACATGTTTCCCTTTGGAAAAAGAGTTATCTTAAACTTCTCACCTGTCCATGAAGCTAGCTAATTTACTGTACAATCTGACGATCTTTCAAAGATGTGTAAGTCACAAATACAAAAAAAATTCTTTGTATTTCCCAAGATAGAACAATATTCTATGGAATTCCGTTTGGGGTTATTATTATTTTTTGCACAGATGTCCACTTTTCCTGACCAGCTGTATAGAGAGCTGCTTCTAGCTTAGACCAGACTGGAACCTGCTGACAAAATAACACAACTGAAGCCAGACATGCTGTGTTTTACACAAGAGGTCATATACAGAAGTACCAACTGCCTCTAAACAAGCTGCTTTATATAAACATACATTTGGTGTGTGGGTTACTCAAAGAACATTGGTGGTGTGAGGAGAGAACATACTTTGCAGCAGTTGTAGAAACCTTAACAATTGTTCATTAAACTATTTCAGGGATTTATAGTTTAAAAAAACGCGGGAGATGTTTTTAACCACAAAGTGGTGTCAAAATCAAAGACTTTCCTCACAATATTCTACAGAAAAGTCCTCGCCTCTCTAAGACTGAAATTGTTTCTTTCATAACTCAAATTTAAATTGCTTGCTACTTAAAATGGTTGCTTACAGCTGCAAGAAGAAAAAAGAACAGTAAATAATGCAGATATTGGTATATATTTAATGAGCAAGAATCAAACCATAACATTTAATCAACATTTAATCTATTAACTATCAGCATTCAATATATTTCAATTTTATCAGATTTTTTTTTAAAAAAATAGGGAGTGCTGTTTCCATACAGAATTCATGAGTTAGCCAATTAGATGACTTTCCTTTAACAAGGTTTTTTTCCCCATTCTGGAACAGTGTTAAGAACTGGAAACATATATAATTCACATTATGGCAACATGTTTGCTAGTCCAGCTTGGTAAAAAGACATTGCACCAGCTTTCAATCCCCAAGCAAATGGCTAATAAACCTAGACGTACTGTCACAGTTGGGAGATATGACACCATGGAAAACGTGGGCCATGTTTTCCTGCAGGGCTATTTGGTAAAAAAAAAAAAGTAATATGGTGGCCACAGGAATGTTTCACTTGTTTTTCATATGTATCGCACAAGCTCATAACAGTGTCCCAACCACCATCTTGATGTTTTTGACCATATGCTGCAAATATCCCTGTTCTGATAATTCCCCACCTGGGTTGTTCTTGTTTTAGCTTCACAAAAACTAGTTCCTTTTCTTTGCTTTCCACACACAAAGCTGCTTATACTTTCTCACTTCCTCACTACCCAGTCCAAGTATCACTATTATGTCACTGTCTTACTATTCTGTCGTGCTGTTCTTTATCTCTTGTTTAAACTGTGCAAAATGAAAGAAAAACCACTCCAGTTAGAAGATTAGATTCTGCACCAAGGTAGGTACCATTTTCAACAGCTACATATTATTTCTCCAGTGTAGTTAAGAGCAGTGTTAAGAGCACTACAGCACTTAGAAGCCTGGGCATTCACCTATTGTTGACTGTAGAATTCCAAAGCAGAAGTTGTTGAATTCAGGTCAATTCTAGGCTAGGGAAATTATTTGTAGTTTGAAGTGTCATGTACTGTATGTAGTTCAGCTTGAAACTAGTCTAGCTACTGCCTCTCTCTCCCCATCCTGTTAATTTTAGAAGTTCGTAAGTCAACTGAAATCCCATCAGATAGCTTTATTTCATGTTAAAGCCCTACAGCATTACCAGATTAAGATCAGTACATGAAGTGAAACTGATGACTCCTTCCACAAACTGTGAGAGGGACCTTAGGATCCTAGTGGACGATCACTTGAGCCAGCAGTGTGCTAATACAATCCTGGGTTGTATAAACAGAGGCATAGAATCAAAATCAAGAGAGGTATTAGTACCGTTTTATAAACCCTAGTGAGACCACACCTGGAATACTGCAACCAATTTTGTTCACCATATCACAAAAAAGATGTTGAGACTTTGGAAAAAGTTCAGAGAAGAGCAACTAAAATGATCAAAGACCTGGAGACTAAAACATAGGAAGAATAGCTGCAGGACTTGGGTTTGGCTAGTCTAAAGAAAAGAAGAAATAGGTGTGACATGATAGCAGTATTCCATTAGTTGAGGGGCTGCCACAAAGAAGAGGGGGTCAAATTATTCTCCAAAGCATCAGAGGACAGGAGAAGAAACAATGGTTGGAAACTGATTAAAGAGAGAAGCAACCTGGAATTAAGGAGAAACTTCCTAACAGTGAGGACAATTAATCAGTGGAACAGCTTGCCCTCAGACATTGAGGATGCTCCATCACAGGAGGTTTTTAAGAAGAGACTGGACAGCCACTTGTCTGAGATGGCATAGGTTCTCCTGCTTGAGCAGGGGGCTGGACTAGAAGACCTCTAAGATCCCTTCCAGCTCTATTCTATTCTATTCTATTCTATTCTATTCTATTCTATTCTATTCTATTCTATTCTATTCTATTCTAAACAGTGATCAGTCAATGAAGTCTCTGGACAATTGGCCTAAGTTTCTTTCTGTTGCAACTGTGAGGTTTGGGGTAAATAGGAAATTTTTGTTTGCCAATACAGGTAGTTCTCAGCTTATCACCACAGCTGGGACTGGAAATTTGGTCAGTAAGTAATTCGGTTGACTTTTTTTTGTAGTAAAATTCCTTATCAGGAGTTTCTTAATTTTTAAGTATCTTCTTAAATGGGTCCCTTTAGACCAGTGTTTCTCAACCTTGACAATTTTAAGGCATGTGGACTTCAACTCCCAGAATTCCACAGCCAGCAATGCTGGCTGTGGAATTCTGGGAGTTGAAGTCCACATGCCTTAAAATTGTCAAGGTTGAGAAACACTGCTTTAGACATCTTTAAGCAACCCTGAGACATTGACAAAGCAAGACAACAAGTTTCTATCCATATTTATATTATAGATTATAAACATTTCCATTTTTGTAATAGTTGGTGTTTTTATTCAGACAGCCTAAGTAGAGTACAAACAAGAACAAAAAGGAGAAAACATTCTGGATAACTCACTGAACATATGTTTGAAAATCTGTTACTAAATTGCTTTTCAAGTACCTGGAATGTGGTACAACGTGCTCATTCTTGATATTTGTATATGGCAAATGATTATTTGGACATAATTATATAAGGCTATTCAAAATGGCAGCAACTTCATAAAATCCAAATGGAATGGAGAGAGACCAGATTGCTGCATCTGTAAGAATAATTGCAGCTTTGAGAAAAGGAGATCAGATTAGCAGAATTGAACTGGCTAAAATAGAGGTCTTCAAATTTGGCCCTTTTATGATTTGTGAACTTCAACTCTCAGAATTCCTCAGCCAGGCACGCTGGCTCAGAAATTCTGGGAGTTGAAGTCCATAAGTCATAAAAGGACCACGTTTGAAGACCCCTGGGCTAGAAGATCAGATATGGTAGCAAAAATTAAGGATGTTTATCTCAACTTTTCATACATTTAACAATAATATTACTTACTTGCTTAACTCCCTCAAATTTTCTCAAAGAATATTCAGTCTATTTATCTCCCATTATTTACCCTATCATTACAGTTTAATCAGAATTTTCAGATTAATTGTAAGAATAATACCATTGTGGAATAAAGAACTATTTAGGCAGGAGACCTTAAACTAAAAATCTAAAATTGAAATATTTGCTTTTCACATTATGACTCATTTGGTTGAAGGCTGAGGTTTATTTTCATATTTTGTTATTTTTTAAATTTTTTTATTAAAGCTAAGGACCTCAA